ACATATTGAGAAAAAATTTAAATTCAAAAGCTAAGTCCAAAAAATACAGTTGACAGTCCAGAGCATATTCAAGTGGTTTTTAATCTGGAGAATGTCCAGTAAAACCAAATTAAAATTGGGTTATTGGCGAAGTACATCAGTAAATTATTATTCAAAAATTCTCTCACGTGAGATTCATCAAGAAATGCGAAAAGCAAATGGAAGCTGAGATAGAATTCAAGGGACCAGAAACATCATAAAACACAAGGAAATAAATAGTCAAAGAATGAGTGACACATGTCAAAGTCAACCGGAACTGACATGAACTGAGGTAGTGACACAGAATATGTCACCGACAAGTGACGTCAATATGATAAATTGATTAACAATAACCAAAACAAAATCAAAATTTGAAACAATGAGACCAAGAGATTGGGAGAAGAATAACAGTAGATCAATCTGGGTTATGTTGATCATTGAAATTTCATAGTACGAAAAATGAGGTTACGTTCAAAGTTGGTTTGATCATTAAGACATGTGAAATTGGGATTGTTTATACATTTTTGAATTTCTAGCATTTCCAATAGGTTCAACCTGGAGCCTTTATTGCAAATGTGAAAGAATTCCATGTTGTCAGATATATTGAAATTATGGTTAGATTCAATTATATGGTTTGCGAAGGAGTAACTAGTGTTTAAATTATTGATGTTCCTATTCCTCCTAGGCGCTCTATTATGTTCAGAGGCTCTAGTTTCAAAACTCCTCCCAGTTTGACCAACATGAGAGGAGTTGCAGTCATTGCAATTAAGTTTGTAAACTCCGGATTTTTTAGAAGTAGGGATTTTGTCTTTAGTGTTCACTAATAAGGTTTTAAGGTTGGAGTTAGTTTTGAAAGAAATATTGAAATTGAAACTTGAAAACAGTTTTTTCAATTGTATTGAGTGCCTGTCAAAGTAATGTAAAGATTTAAACAATGGTAATTCTTTCTCTTGTGCTGTTATAACATTGAATGATAATCTGAATTTTGTGAAAAATTTAAAATAAATTTTCATAATTGGATCTAGAGGGAATTGATCATTGATGGCAATTTGTTTAATTATATTAATTTCACTATTAAAAGCTGAATCAGACAGTGGCAAAGAAAAGGCTCTATGAAAAAAGCAATTGAAGGAAGCAAATTTATGAGAATAGGGGTGGTTGGAATAGTAGGGAATGACAGTATCTGTGGCAGTAGGTTTTCTGTAAACTTGAAATTCAAATCTGGAAGTATTGATGTTTTTTGTGATGAGTAGATCAAGGAAAGGTAGTTTATGGTCACATTCTGTTTCAACAGTGAATTTAATATTAGGATGTAATGTGTTTATATAAACTAAGAAATTAGACACGTCTGAGGGGAAACCATCAAACAGTAAAAGGCAATCATCTACATATCTGTAATAAAACACTAATTTAGAATTAAAACTTGGGTTATTTAAAAATTGTTTTTCCAAATTATTCATAAAAATTTCCGCTAACAAAGGGAAAGTTGCTACCCATTGATTTTGTGGTCGACAGACTTTGGGAATTTCATTGATTTTTCTTAAATACACAAAGTCATCCCCACGACACGTTATTGTGAAAACTCACGTGAATAGAACATATTTTCGGACATACTTATGTCCATCGTCAGCCTAATAAGAAATCACATAGTCATGAAGGTAAACCGGAAAACACTGACTCAGTATGCCTTCAACTTGCTCATGGAAGCGCCCCAAATGTTAGGGGGTTCTTTAGTTTTTTACGATCCACCATAATGCCCATCTATGCGGGTTTTTCATGGTTATCCCCCTAGGAAAACAATTAACCATTTAACTTTTATTTATTTTCAATCCTCTACGGTTATTTGATGAAAAATTTCTTTCACCTTCATGACTATGTAATTTCTTATTAGGCTGATGATGGACATAAGTATTTCCGAAAACATGTTCTATTCACAATGAACCCATGAGTTTTCACGATAAATTGTCGTGGAGATGACTTTGTGTATTATTCAGTATTAAAAGTTAGATTGCCTAACAGACACACTGCAAACTTGTATCGTATTTGAGGTGATCCCATTCCTCCCAAAACTTTTATTGGATCATAAAGTTTGGTGTTATATCTCGTAATAGTATTTTTTATTTTCATTGTTATTCCAGAGTAAATAAAGCCTTACAATAGATATCCACGATTCACTGATTCAACCTAATACATGCTCGAAAAACCAACACGAAACTGAAAGCTGAAAAAACGCTAGTCACAGCTAACTTAACAGAAAGTCGTGAAAAGTAACTTTTCTTCATTATCCAATTGAAATTTCAGTTAGTGATGAATCTCAATTTTGATCTATGGATATACAGAGCTATTTTGAAATTATAATTGAAAATTTGGTGAATACACCTGCACGCCATATACGAAAAGCTAGAATTTGAAGGGGTATTCGCCATTTCTTGGAGTCCTAGACTCAGAGGTTTTGTCTCTCAAAAAGTATAGGTATAACGTATAACTAAACACTGAATCCAGAAGCGATTTTGATTTCATGTAGCTAGGTGCAAAATAGGAAAGACTACGTCATTAATTTCATTCACCTCTCATCCAAAAGTAACTTGAAGTACATAATAATTATATCACTGCATAGACAAAAATATTAGTGAGAGTCTCTGGTGATAGTGACGAGACTTAGTTTACAACTATGAGCGCTTCCACCAAATACTTCGTTACCAGTTAAATAGCCCAGATCCAGATATGTATGAAAAATCGAATGCCACATCAGTTTCATGTATTGTTATTCAATGTTATTTCAACTTATTTTGATTCCATCACACTTTCCGGTGCAAGTCCATTACCTTGAACTTGAAATTCGCCGAAGCATCTTTCACCTGATAGTATTATGTCATTAAAGAGCTAGGTATTCATAATAGATATTTAATCCTCAGATGATGACCGTGAATCATCCGGATTCAATTGCATAACATTCCGCTAATTTTGATGAATTAGGACCACTTGCTCTGACCATATTTGACAGCTATTCATTCAGCATCAAACTTTAATTGGTATTTATTGATGCAACTTCTTTCTGAACAGCAATCATTATAAATGATCTCACTAACCATCAATTATATAACAGTACCATGAATAACAATATAATAATAATGATGATGTTGGTTGTTGAATAATATATTTTCGATTGTTTTTCATCAATAACTACTGGTCAGAATTTTCCTTAAATAGTTCCTTTAGGAAAACAAGATATCGAAACTAAGCACAGTACAGAGATATAATATTTACGGAATGTTTCTAAAAATAAATATTATATTTATACACATATTCTCATGTTTTGTGATGATATCTGTCTGTTACAACGAGAATATCTATAGAGATATGGTAAATAAGCATGAGAGGGTTTGATTGTTGTTATCGTTCAGCACTCATAAATCGTTCAAATCAATCAAAATGATGGATTGACGAACAAATATCGTTTGAAAATATTTGTGGTGACCTCTACAGGAAAATATATTATCTATAATATACAGGGTGGAGCATCTCATACAACGTATTCATTGTGTATATGAACAGTCAAAAAATACATATGTTACCGTGAAAGTCCGAAAGCCGGTGATTGTCAGGATATACCAGGATTCACCAAGTTACTTGGCGTATGCCCGATATATTCATCAAATATCATTGATTTCAACTTCCACCGGCGAATGTCAACATTCATCATATACTCATGGTGTATGTTCGAAAGAATTTTTTATGAAAAGAAAATAAAATGAAACTCTATAGGTTATTATTTATTATGATTAAATCATGGAAGAAGTTTTCAAGTGAACATAAAGAAGTTGTTGAATTTAAGACAAACACAATAAACATAATATTAAAATAAAAATAAAATGCATTTTATTTCTTGAACTAAAATGTGAAAATCAAAGTAAATGTATGGCAACTTTATTTATTGCAACAATTTAAGCTACCATGGCACTTTGAATTACACAAAAGGCTCTTGTTTTCACAGCTACATTTAGACGTGGAACATTTCTTTTTGCAGTTACAGCGTGTATAGCCTTGCCCCCTGCTTTTTGTATTAGCAGAAGCTGCTTCTCTTACCGAAATTTCTTGAGCTGAAATCTCATCCATGGAAATTAACTTTTCTTTGCAAATTGCAAATTGGGTACGGGTGAAAAGCTGCTTCAAGGTGTCATTTTTGTTTGCTATATACTGCAGTAGCCATCGAGTACAAATTATAATACCACTATCAATCAAACCTTGTGTAAGACTGATGGCGATAAGCCTGTTTTAGGACCCGTCGTTTCCGACATCGACCAAAGCTCATAATTATGTTTTTGTCGACATATACCGGTGTATATTAACAATCACTAATTTCGGTCTTTCACGGTAACATATACACTATTAATGATGATGATGACCACGTCGTATGAGCCCTGTATATATTTCATTTGTACAAGGTGTTTCCTTCCATTACTTTGAGTGAGAAAGTTTTAATGAACATGTTTCAGCAGCTTATTGAGTGTGGAGAATCTATAACGAGATCTTCATTATCGTAGTATGTTCATTCATTGTTTCTAGGTTTCGAGTTGAAAAATTTAGAAGACGAAAATTACCTACTCCGCACTGAAAACGCGATTGTTCACTATAATTCAAAAAAACTAAAACATTTCGAGAACCAAGCAATATGAGCATTGAGGAAATATCAAAAAACTAAGATTCATATCAAATTCTCAGTGACCTAAAGAAATTCTTAGTGACTTGAAGAAAGATCTAGATTAAAAAATATCTGCCTATTAGAAGCACTCACTGCCAATCCCACTCTACATTTTCCATTTCAAGGTTGCTAATTGAATGCACAATTACATTAGCTTCCATTTGCCGGTCTTACATGGTAATTGTTGTCTTACCACAAGAAAACGGTATAGACTATAGATCGTAAAAGCGAGGTTGTGACATCTATTCCAGTAAAATTAGAACGACGAATAACCATTTTCATGGTCTATTATTTAGAAAGAGTAAGAAATAGTGCCATGGCGTTTATTTTCGTTGGTAGTAATCGATTCTTGGAAAACATGTGGAGTTTAAGGGAATGCATAAAGCTTGTCACCGGTGAGTTATATATAATATATAGTTCTCCTTGTTTTTCATAAAAAAAATAATGCTGGGGTCAATGAACTCTGATGACTTGATAATATACAGGTTGAGCCAAAATAAGACCGACAAACTTCGTATTCTGTTTCCTAACCTCATTTTTGTATAAATATGAACATGAAAGCATCTAAAGAATGATGAGAGGAATAAAGCTGAAGAGCGATAAGTGCCATTGCACTTGTTTCACAGTAATTGTACAAACTTATTTTTTAATCCATACATTATTTCAAGGTTAACACTTTATATTGAGATGTACCAAAGTGCAAACTATTTGAAAAAAATTGAGCATAAAAATTGTTTTTTCTCGACCATGTATCAATATTATCTCGGGAAATCTCTTTAGTTTTCCGCAAATATCTCAGGAACTCCCACATTTAGGCATATGGATGTTATGGAATGTTATACTTTTATGTTGAGTATCAGTTCATCTATCTATGAAAAAACATTAAAAGTGGAACGAGCATGGTGACGTACGACGGTAACTACGCCACTGGCTAATAAAATTCAATAGGTACTGAAAACTCCAAGTAATTACCATGATTATTCTGGATTAAAATATACCAAGTTTAATTTTTTTTTACAGGAATTCTGAAGATCTAAATTTTTCTCGTACTTTTAACACCCTGCATCTCACCTCAAAATGAGGTTACGAATCTGTATACGAAGTTTATCAGTCATATTCTGACTCATAGACGAATATTGTATAATAGCAATCTACACATAGTCAATGATTTTAATAAATTTCCATAAACAGAAATCAATAATGACATCTGATGACTGATGAAACGATAGCAATATTCAGAGATTGCTGATGATTATTTAAAAAAAAAGCTATCATCGGTGCCATCGTTTGGCGTTGAATATCACTTCATCCCTTATCTCTCTCATTGATAGAATTAAGAACAATCGGATAGTCGATGATAATATAAACAAATGAAAACGAATATCAATATTCATATTGTCGCTGTTTTGCAGAAAGCCAAGAAACCCCTAAAAAAATAAAGCCAAGAATGGAGTTAGAGGAAATGCATATAAAGGTTGACAAGATCACATTATAGGATATTGTTAAACAGTACTACGACACCCTTCCCCTAACGTCATGCAATGTGTTTTTTTAATATTGTATATTGCTCTAAATAGAATGTTCTTGAACAATTTCATTTATAAGTACGTCCTATCACCTCTTGAAGTTCATCTCACATATCAATAAACACTGTGTATATACATATATAGAAGCAGATGAATGTTATTCAATCTGTAACAGACAGAAGTTCCGAATCAATGAGTTATAATTAGGTTTCAATTGAAGCATTCTCTATTTTTATCGTGATGCTAGAATAAACCAATCAACTTTTTATCTCAAGGATCTTGAACAAACAGGAAAAATGTCATATTTGTGGATTGCAGATGATGATTATTTTATGCTGAAAACGTATGACGGTCATAGAAAATTGATAGGTCGAATAGATCGATTAGCAAACAATATTAAGTTCCTTATTAGGAAATTGTGGTGTAGCAGCCTTGTCCATGAATAGCTCTGAATTATTGTACAGAATACTATAGGTTTATTGAAATATTCTGGCTCTGGAGTTTCAATATATTGCCTTATCTTTCGACATTCTATAATATTCTCTAAGCTTGTTATCTTTCAGTTTCCGGAAATCATTCCTTTTGCTAATTTCCTTGTTTACTGATAATAACTTCAAAATAAGAGAATTGAATAACAACATGAGCGGGTAAAAGTGGAGTATGTTCAAAATATATTGTCACAAATGAATTATACTGAGATCATCACGCAACATTTAGCTTCTATGTCACTAACTCTATACGCCACTTAAGAATCAGCATTATTGATTTGAATACAATAGTGAGTCGAACGAAATCATCATACTCATATACATATAAGAATATCAAAACAAAATTACTTAACAAGGGTTTATATAATCTTGAAAATATTCAACTGACATTTTTCGTTTTAAAATTCCACGGAAAATACAATCTTCTATATCAAGATTTCAGAGATACAGGTAGATGAACTCATTTCCTGAAGGAATTCATCTACAGATTGTGTATCGAATCGTTAGGTACTTATAGAAGTATTAAGAAGTGAGAGGTACGATAGGCGAATCAGTATCTTGCTATGTTGCCATTGACATGCCCTATATGTGTTACGATTTGGCAACGCTGTCCCTACAACATCTCTGTTTTCAGCACGAAGAATGAAAGGACCGACGAGAAGGGACGAAACAACGCCGAAGACATACGAGACCAAGGTCAGCAAAACGAAGCGCCTGACGACCGTCAAATGTCAAACCGCCGCTATCACCTACGATGAAGCGAAAGCTGCTTGCAAAGCGAGGAAGCGGAAAGAGCGACAAGAGAGCATCAGCTCGCTTTGCCAGGAACGAAAAGTCATCAGGTCGGTATTTGGACGATTTGGTACCAATTTTAGCTCGAAACTTGTTCGTTGATTTCCTTCATCTCAAGCTTGCATCTTCAAAATGGACAGTGAAACATTCGTTTCAGAAACATACTGTATTCAATACCTAGCAGGATGTACCACTGCTGTTTTCACACATATACATCAGCAGGATCTTCCTTTCTTGAATTCAAATTACTTCAAACAACTTCTATCGAGTTTTTGCAAGATCTTTCTACAAGCAAGACAATACTATTCCATCATGACTATTGCACTAGACGTTTTAGTTTCTGAAATCGAATTCGGCATTCATCTTAAATCTAATGTGAACATCCCAATCTCGTAACGATATGATTTTTTCCGTCGCAGATCCAATTCGGAAGAGCGGCCCGAACAGAAGAGATACGAGAAAAGCAGCGCTATCAGAAGGGTATCCAGCAGCGAAGATTTCCAGAGCAAAAAGTCGGGATCTGCTGAGAAGATCAACGGTTCGCCTATCAAAGCAACAGGAGATAAGTGTCTAGCCTATGAAGATAATGAACATGAAAGGCGAAGGTACTGAACATATTCACTTGTCTATTGTTGAACATCCAAAATCAAACTCTTTTGCTTCCAGGTCCCACGAGCGCTTCGCAAGACCCCTCACCCTCAAAGGCAAAAAGTACACCACCAAACGAGTCAAAGTTCGCCCCATAAACAGAACCAAATTCAAGCCAGAACCGTCCCAAGACGGCAAAGACCACAAGAAACTGGTGGTGCCTCAAGGAGCTCACTCCACCGACCAAGGTGAAGTCAACACGAGCTTCCTGTCGCTGCACCGAAATGAGAGAGCAAGGTCGCCAAGTCCCACACAGGACCCTGTTTCCCCAATCCTGGATTGGTCTACTCTGCACGAGCTGGTACATTCCTCTGAACCGGTACTGAGCCAAACAGCCAGGCAGATCAACGAAAATACCGAGACAATGCCAGGAGTCTCTGTGGCCTTGAACCGACTCCTGTCTTCGCCCAGGAACTCCATAATAGCCACACACAAGATCTATTTGGACCCGGACGTGCCTAAACCCATGTCAAACCTGGACTCCGAGCCAGAAAACCCAGTGGACGAGAGGCTGCAGAAGATCTCGAAGCAAGTCAACAGCTTCAAGAAGAAAATCAAGAGACTGGAAAGCAATTTCGAGAAAGAATACGGGTACAAACCATCGCATACTGACAAGATGAATGACTCGAGCTTGAAGAAACTGTACGGCGAACTCAGCAAGTTGAAGAAAGATCAGAAGCAACTGGCAGATATTTCGTCCAGCTGTGCTTTAATCGATGTTGGAGGGAATGGGGAGCCAGGCAGCTTGCAGATGACTATTAACGAAATAGAAAAGGTACGAGAAGAGATATGATGGTACAAATAACACATCACATCATTACATAGCTTGTGTTGAATTTCAGCTTTAGGTAAAATATCACATCTAGCACCAATGAAGTTGAACAATTATTGTTTCAGAAACTCTCCATCAAAAGGGACGCAGCTGACCGAGGTTCCAACATAGAAGAAATGTCCTCAGAGCAACTGGTAGAAGAAAAAGTAGCTATACAGAAAGCATTATTGTTTTTGGAGTCAGTTCATGGCAGGCCAATAAAGAAGGAAGACAGAGATCTAGTCAGGCCGTTCTATGACAGATACAGAACCCTCAAGAGATTGGTCAATAAATTATCAACAGTAAGTTGCCATATCTTTATATCAACTCGAGCAATGTAGATTCGGTAGCATGAGCAGCAACTGTTAGCTCTATTAACAGACCTCTTCGACATTCCCCTACTAAAGCAACAAGCCATAGATCTGGAGACCTCAGTAACATATGGTACTGTTTTAGCCAAGTTGTGGAGGCAAGTCATCTTCACTCTGTTGACCTTCAATAGCTGACCGTTGTTTCACTATTTCTGATCCAACATAAGCTTGTCAGGAGTAACCATACCTTTGAAGACATTCATTCCGATGCTTGGTATTACTATCAGCAATAACCTTTCTTGGGAAAATCACGTGAGATCAATTACTACCAGTGCATCCTGAAAACTTGGTTTTCTGTTTCGGACCAGGAGCTATCTCACTTCCAGTCAGCTGCTAATGATCTATAAGGCACAGATCCGCCCGGTCCTGGAATACTGTTCCCATATTTGGAGTGCAGCACCCAAACATACCCTGTTTTTGTTGGATTCTGTTCAAAAGAGGGCAATTCGTCTCGTGGGTGATGCCTCGCTCACAAACTCACTCACTTCTCTGGAACACCGTAGAAAAGTTGGAAATCTGGCTCTATTTCATAGATATTTTCATGGGCGGTGCTCTTCTGAAATATCAACAATTTTTCCTCCCTTGGCAGTCCCCGCGAGATTAACCTGTCGAGTTGAGGCTTCGCACCCCTTCGTGGTCACTTTGGAGACCTGCAGAGCATCTCTTCCCAAAGACTCGTTCATCCAACGAACAGCGAGGCTCTGGAACACATCGCCAAGGGAGATGTTTCCCGAGGCATATAACCTCCAGAAATTCAAGAAGAACACCAATTCCTACCTTATTTCCCTTGGTTCTCACGATGTTCTATGAACATTACAGGATATTTCTATTCGTGGGAACCAGAACATAAAAAAATCTATTTCTGGTCATCCTTTGATTCAACAACATACAATGTTTGATTTTATTCCAGAATAATTCTTCTGGCGAGCTGGCCACTATTCACGAGAACGAAACAATGACTTTCACAACACCACCGTCATCATCTATCGATACTGAATCCGAGAAAACATCAGTGCAGCCACCAGTTACCACAGACAGTGATACGGACAGCTCATTGGGGGAAAACCTACATGCCATGAGCCGACGGGAACTGATGGAACAGTTGAAGCTAGTAACGGAAGAAAGGAAGAATCTGAGGAGGAAAATCAAAGAGTTCGAGCTAGAGGTACAACTGAACAGGGGTAAAATGGTGCAGAAAGATGACAGAGCGCCCATGGAAGGTGTTTACGCAGCTTACAAGAAGATCAAAGCCAAGGCTAGGCTTCTGGATGCACTAGTTGGAAAACAAACTTGAACCAACTAATAACTTGTAACTAGTACTTACAACAGATGTCCTATAGGAGAAATATCGAACTGATTATATTAATTGGGACGTATCATCCTCTATAAGTAACCAAGATGCAAAAAAAGATTCACTTATTTCGAATCTTGCAAGAGATAATTTGAGTGGTTGATGTTTTATATCACGAAATATTTCTGAACAGAAATGTGAAGGGAATGTTTCCGTAGGAAATATATTCGATTTCCATAATGTGTACCTATAGTATTTAATGGTTTATATCTAATCACGTACAAACATCTTCATCATCACCATCATCAACTGAAACTCTAATTTTACGAGGTTGGTGCTAAGGTAAGCATAAGTCTGCCATTTTTTGTATATAAAGTGATTGTAACTATTCTATTTTTCGAATGTATTTGTGACGTGGGAATGAATCATTCAATGATTATTGTTTATTCGTTTATATAAGTGTTGTCTTTAGAATGGAATTCAATACAATGAATTATTATGGACCTTATAGTGCAACTGATTTGTAACCATATTTTTAATAGGACAATATTAATTTATGGAGAACAAGATTAAATATGAAATATATAAAATGAATAAAATTAATAGCTCTCATCGCAATGAGTGATAGTACTGATAGGACCTCTTATTTAGAGATTGAACCAGCACTGCTTGATTCTTGATATGTATTTTTTATTATTATGACTATAGAGTTTTGCATCCAAAAGTGGATCATATAATATCTAATTCTCTATGTTGTGATGTTACCATGTTTTCTAGTACCAAGTACTAATTATGTGTGATAAGATTTTTTGGAATGTTTCGGAAGTAAAATTATTCTAAAAATATATGAATTTTATTTATTATCCCATTGAATTGAGCATGAATCACATAGATAGCTCAATCGACATGAATCTTATGTTATACATTTTTATATTTATATATACCTCTCTTGGAGCGCACGAAAGGAAATTCCATTATAGATTAGGAATAGAAGAGTCATTAAGATCATTGATTATTACAAGAGGTACTGAAGGTCACCCACAATTCTTCCTCGGCATAAACAAAACTTTTCTAAATTTATTTTTTTAGACATCATATAAAATGTTGATGTTTACGTTCATACATAAAATAAACGGTTGTTTCGATGGTAGTAAGAAATAAATTGAATATAAAGATGTAGAAGTTTGTCAAAAAGTATAAAGGTTCACATTCTTATGATTTTTGGGAATTGTTGTACATGAGATTGACAAAAACACGATTTTTACATTTATTAAAAATCTTACTGGAAGAAAAAAAACCGATATCGAATAAATATTTTGATTTATGAAATGATTAATCTTCAAGGTATCACTGAATTTTTTTCCAAAAAGAATCGATTAGAGTTATATAATTGTATCAATAATTCCAATTACACTATTAGCATTCATTTCAATAAACGGAAAATATCAACAAAGAAATCCTTGAATTCACTAGAATAAACTAGTCAACATAAGAACAGAATTTTTCTTTTGAATTGCATCTGATATAATTTTGTAGTGAAAAAATTGAAATTTGGTATGTGACAGAAATTTACGAGAATTATAACTAGTGGTGAGGTGAATGAGGCATAGTATCAGATAGAGAATTTAATATAAATATGCCATAAAATATCTAAACCTATTATATGCATTCCTCTAGATTTATTTCAAAATAGTCTCTACTCGTTTTCGTAAATGAAAATATAAGTAGATAATTATTCGATATATGTGTAGTAAGGACAAGATTACATGATTTTTTCCAGAATGTCTTTGGGTTTACTATTGAAAAACCTAAAATAGAAATTCAATTGATATACTGCGTCAAATGATTGAAAGGGAAGAGGAGAAAATATACAATTTTCACTCATAGCTTTGGACGTTTTGGAAACTTATATATCTGCTTCCTCTACTTCATATAGATCAAAATGGATATTCTTGCAACTGATGGTTATTTTTTTCTCAACTTTTGTCACTTCTCAGTAGCTTGTCAGAAAAATGTGTGCTGAGTTACATGATGTTTTTTAATAGACCTTGTATTCACCTTTTTTATGAATGATTGAATCATATTATATACGTATCCACTGAACAAAAAGGAGAATGCAAGCGAATTCTCTGATTTTCACTGAAGTGAGGAGAAAAAATAATATCTATTATATGTTCCCAAAACTTGATCAAAAGTCAAATAGTTTGATTTATCACATTCTCCTCCAGTGAGAAAGTGTAAAATTCCCAATACTTATACATGCTCAGGTAAATATGGTAAACAGACGCATAAGTCTGAGATGTCTGAAACCATGCAAATGATTTGTATCATAAGAATATAAATTAATGGTGGAGAGTAGTATACATATTTTCATGGTCAAGTTTGATCTTTTTCATCCCAAATATTTCATGTTACTTTTGTGTTCAAACAAGCGTGAAAAGCATTATTTATAACAATAGGAAGACAATTGAAACTACTAGAGTATGATAAGTTGTGCTAAAGCTGACATTGGTGCAATGGTGAGTCTGACTGCATTTTCATTCAACTTTTCTGTTGAGAAACTGGTGATTTATTTCCCACAAATATTGATAAATCAACTAATAGTTAGTCAATGAGTTGAGTAGAAAATTATCGTCAAATGGATATGGTTAATTTTGTTTTTGAAAGTGGCCTTCCTTCGTATTTTTATTCCAGTGATTGAACACGGAAAAAAAATTTCGTTTGAAACTACAAAATTTTTGTTAATTCAACAAAATCTGAGTGTCATATATCCACGACAAAATATTTTGTCACCACGACAAATGTTTTCTGTCAGTTTTCAATCCAGAATTCATTTGATGTAACTCATTTATGATATAAATTAACAGCAAGAATTGGTTGAATAAACAAAGACTATTTTGTTCCTATTAAATTTCTGCTCTTGTGAATAACGATTCAGTTAACTGAAATGATTATATAATTTCATTCAAGTGAAAAAATTTTCAGTTTTTCAGAGGGTGAATATGTTAGAAAAAACAATATATATTCTCACATCAACCAAATTGAATTTAGAATGGACAAAATATGTTGCTGAATAATATTCAAAAAAATCCAATAACTGAAATCAAAACTAAGAGAAATTAGAGATCAATTTCCTCATTTGATTCAAGACTTGTATAAGCGTCATAAGAAATTCTAGGACAGCCTTATATAATTATATAAAAGGATGTTTTGGGTAGGTATATATGTACCTACACCCCAATCGAGGCGAGCGTAGGAAGGTTGGAAGAAACGCCACCTGGTGGCAAAAATGCAACTAGATCATCATTCAACAAAATATTTGTTTGTTATAATGTATTTGTGGGTTCTGTTAAACGAAGTAATTTGTTTGAAATAACAACATTTTTCTTGATAGTGATGTGTTGAATCAACAAAATATAATGTTATCACAATCAATTCAATTTTGTCGAATAGAAAGAAACCTTTGATTGGTTGCACAATGAAATGATTATTGACTCAACAAAATATGATGTTGTATTTAGTTGAATCTTTGTCAAAATTAATTTAATTTTGTCGAATAGACGAAATGCATATATTATGATTGATTGAACAGTGAGATAATAGTTGGATCAAGAAAATTCGTTTCATGCCAACTATAAATATTGTTGAATGAAATGCAACTTTTGTTCAAGTAAGCAAATATTTCAATCATATTATGTCGTCTCTTTGAATAGGTTGCTTATTTGGAATGAACGTATATTTTGTTGATTTCGCAAAATTGTGTTCAATTTAACAACAAAAAAATTACAAAAATTGTTTTGTTTGTTCCACCAAATATTTTTTCGTGTACATATCCGAAAAGATCAGATTCGTTTTTCAAGCCAAGAATATTTCGGAAATTATGCCTCGACTTATTTTTCAAAATTTCTTAGAGAACGACAAATTCCTGAGAATAATTCAAGCACTCTTGTTTAAAATAAAAGAATGCCATATTCACATAAGAAAATAATTTCCTCGTTATAATATAATCGGTTATATAGCAATTCAATGAATATAGCACAACTTTCTCTGGGGCTTATTACACCTTTCGTTAGCAGAATCCGGTAGTATGCCAATACCTATTCGACTAATCAATGACGATACTTATATCATCTTCAGCATTGCAAATCATTGCATACTTCACATACTTGATACATTTTGATGTCCAGTAACTTGTAAATGTGTAGTGCAACATGGGTAAGGGAGGTTTTATTTCCAATCAGGTATGTCCAACATCATAGAAAAAATACGCATTTGGAAGATTCTATAGTACGAAAACAGCAGTGGACTAGGACTAAGAAATACTCTGTTATGTAATCGTTTCGATGTTTTTTACCTTCAGTAGGGACTTAGTGTTCCTATTTCCAATAGAATATGTTTTATAGATAATGATAGTCAATCAAAACATCAAAACATATTGATTATTTGGAATGTTTTGCAGCTCACTCATGTTTGTACCTAGTCCTCTTATTTTTCATTTCTCTAGATTTTTTGGGATGTTCTCTCCTCGTATTTGAAAATTAAAGTATGATTATCATTTTTATATATGTGTAGTAAGGAATAATCAGATGATTGGTCCCAAAATGTCACTGCGAATAAAAATATTACTATTAAAGCGTGAATAAAAATGCAATCGATGATCAGGGGGTTTGTTGTTCGGAGGTCATCAGTGACATGTTGTATTAAAAATGTTTAGAGAAGAGGAATATAGTAGTTTATCTAGATAATATCTAATTTTTACTCAGCTTTGGACGTTTTTTAAACAAATCGGCTATACCGTTTCCAACATTTCATAATTATTTTTGCAATTGATCTTTCCGTTTTCGCCTCATGTTTCGCAATTTTTTTTCGTTAGGAACAGATATTTATCCGATGAAAATAGCTCTCGTCGTTTGTACTGTTGGACTGTTGCCTATATTTCCAAATGTAATGAAGAAAATCCAAATTTCAACCTACAATCACCCAGTGGCCATGAAAGTCAACTT